ACCCACGGCGTTCGGTCCCGGCCGGCCCCGACGGGCAGCAGCGCGCGGGGTGCCGGCCCTGCGGAGAGAAGGGGAACCCGGCTCTGGGCGCCGGCTGCAGGTCGGGGTCCTGGCCCTCAGGCCGTGCGCCTTGCTCAACAGACCTGAGATTTAGGGGCAGGGCGCCTCACGCCCACCCTGGAAGCAGCGAGGCAGTTTAGGTCCGCTAAACCCGGGTAGCTGCGAGCGCCCGGGGCTGTGCCCTGGGGGTTGTGACTTGGATGTACACCCCCAGCTCCCGACAACCCAGACAAGGCCATGCGGCTGGGTGCTCAAGGCTCCCAGATGGTGACAGACTTCTGGGCCGATGGTCGCATGGTACCCGGCTCCGATTGGCCTGGACCTCCCTGATCCTCCCTTTCAAAAGGAGAAGTCCCGCCAGGTGGCCCCGAAAGTCCTGGGGTTGGAGGAGGGAGGTGGTGTGCAAGAGGAAGCCCAGGCCCCCACTACCGGGGTGAGGGAACGGGGAGGGGAAAGAGGGTGGCTCCCTCTCTTCCTGGGTTCCTGGCCTAGTTTGGGCCCCATCCTACTAGGCCTCCTCTCCATGGAGCCTTGAGTCCAAAGCTGGACTTGAGTGTGAGCCACCCACAGGGCATGTGTTTCATACGTGTGGGCAGTAGGCTTGCAACCCCCCTGCCCCTGCCCTGGCTGTCTCCTAGAGCCTTCCTGGGTGGGTGCGGCCCCTGTCTGTCTGGAATCTGCAAGCCCAGGGCTCTGTACTATCCCAGATCTATCCACTCAGGCTTCCAGGGCCTCTGTTCCAGGAATTTTCTCTCTGGGCTCTGTGTGGTTGGAGAGGTGATGGACCACATAGGAAATGGGCCCTGGTGAGGATCTGAGACCCCATGCAGATGGGTGGATGGAGATGCTGCCCTCACCCACATGCCTGGTGGGCAGCTGTGGCCAGTGGAGCCCAGGGCTGGGGTCTGTCACACCAGGCACCCTCTTGAGGCTGAGATTGAGCTCCACAGGCCGAGGTATGGGAGTAGCCCCAGTGAAGCCTGAGGACAGGAAGTCCACTTCCCAGCGTCTGGTCACAGTCTTGTCTCTAGCTGTGCCCTGTAGAGCTTGGGCACTGCCGATGTAGAAGATATGGGGCTGTGCCCGAGGGTCCTCGCAGGAGGCATGTGTGATTGGGTCTGGAACCTGCTGCCAACTTAACTGTGTTACCTTGGACAAGTCATTGAACCCCTCTGTGCCTCTGTGTCCTCCTCTGCCTAATGAGACTGGTCATCCTGGTGGGGCACACAGTGGGTGCTCAGTCACACCCGTGGGCATTCCCAGCGGGATCTGTGTAAGTGACCAGCAGGGTCTGCAGCCAATATGGCCATCCTGTGTACTCACTCCTGCAGCCCACAAGGGCCCCTCTGCTCCCCCTTTCCAAGGTCCCTGAGTTGGGCCGCAGAGGCTGGCTTCCCATGGGGCCAGTGCAATTCTCACAAAGGGACAGTGTCCGGGCTCTCAGAGGAAGCACCCTGGGGTCTGGCCGGCCCAGACCCAGCCCGACCAGCTGCAGCTGAGGCCTCAAGCCCAGGAGAAACCCGGGTCTGAGGGTGCCCCGCGCAAGGCCTGCCCACTCCTGCCCCACTGGCTGCAGGTTGTTCCCAGACCCTGGCCACACAAGGGGACCCCAAATGAACAACGACCTGTCCCAGCCCCCTGGTGTCTTTTTGCTCAGATGGAAGCATTTTTCCCACCACTTGACGCATCTGGGTGATATCTACACATGTGGTCGTGCTCAGGTGTGATCCGCAGCACAGCTGTCATCAGCCTTAATTCTGTTGTTGGTATTGTTTACAAGAACTTTTGTTTTCTGGAGTAAAGGGTAGAGCAGAAATCCACAAGCCGGAGGACAGGTGACTGGTGGCTCAGGCTGAGGTCCCAGCTTCCACCCAGCAGCAGATGAGCAGCGAGAGGAAGGGAGGCCTTCACTTGCCTGCAAAGGAGGTATCCCCAAATCAGAAAGCACGGAGCTATGGCTCCCAAAAAGGGTACAGCTGTCCAAGATGACGGGGGGTGGGGGGTGGGGGGGAGCACCTAAATGAACAGCTTTTAAACCAATAGTTAAAATTGAGGCTAAGTAGCAAAGCAAACTGATTTAAAGAAAAATACCAAGGGACTGACACACAGGGGGTCACTAGGTGACAGCTGGTGGACCCAAGAGGTATTGGGAGGTGCCTGTCTGCCATGGATCCACCTCCAACTGCTGTCTTTTCCTGCTGATGCCCCCAAGGCCCCAGGCAGAGGCTGTTCCCTGGGGACACTGGAGAGCTGCCCAGGTATCACAGCTGAAAGAAGCCAGTGGCATGGAGTATAAGGGACAAAGGGGAGAGGGCTGTGGGCTGGATCACATCAGACCCAGAAGCCACGGGAAGGATTACAGATGTAGTTGCTCACTTCACCAACCTTTGCTGAGCTCCTGCCCTACTCCAGGCATGCAGAGAGAGTACAGAGCCACAGAACCCTCGAAGTGCCTCCTGGCGGCAGGCTTCTGAACACAGAGATAGAGTGAGAGGGGCTGCCGCAAGTGACAGACCAGTGATGTGTGAGCTGGGTTTTGAAGGATGAGGAGGAGTTTTACAGAGGAGGTGAAAGGCATTCCTGGTAGAAGGAAAAAGCAGAGGCACAGAAAAATGTCAGAGAATCTTGGGAAATGCTGGCAGCTAGAGCTCTAGTTTGAAGCAGGAAGATGAGAGGTCAGAAGACCCAATTTTATAGAAGATTTTGAGGCCCGAGCCACAGTCTCATTCCAAAGGTTGAGAGCAGCTGGGGACGGGATTTGAATGGGAGTCACACCCACACCCAGAAGGAGGCCCCTCTGGTGCAAGTGCTGGCTGGGTTGAGTGACTAGACCAAGCACCAGCATGGGTACCTCTGCCTGTCGGAAGGAAGGGCCCAGGTGGGAACTGCAGAGCCCGTCCTTCTGCGCCCCAGCTCTGGCTGCCGGAGGGGTCCTCTGGTGTGAGCGCTAGCCTGGGAAGCCTGCCTTGCGCCACTATGGGAGCCCAGAGCCCTTTCACAACAACACACATCCCAGCCAGCTGGGCTGTGGCCTGCAGCCAGAGCAAACAGGAAGAGACCACGGTGGGCTGGGCCGGGTGGGGCAGGGCTCCTTTTGTTTGGAGAAGGGATTAGGCCTGTGGGCTGCAGGATTTTCTGCTGCTAAGGTGGGAAGCAGCACAGTGGGGACAGAGGAGACCAGTATAGGGGTACCTGGCCACCGTGTGCCTCTCAGGGCACCTCGGTGCTGCCTGGCCTGGGCAAGTTCTTCTGTGAGGACCGTGACTGGGAGCACACTTGATGCCGACTTTGGGGGCCACCATTCCTCTGTCAATGTGCTCCTCTTGATGCCCTTGGCCACCTGCAAGGCCTGTGAGGCGGCTGCCTGTCACTGCCCGGGAAGTTCAGGTTGGCCCCCACCAAGGCCCAGCTGGCCTTTGATGCTGCACACAGAGCACCTTGACCTGCAAAGTAGACTGCAGGACTCCCTGGGAGAGATGCTGGCTTCAGCAGGCCAGGCGCGAGGTGATGGCATCTCCCCTGGCACGTGGGCCTGCATGAGTCACACATTGAACACAACTTCCTGCAGGCTTTGGGGCAGGAGGCGGCAGGTGTGCAAGGCCCTTAGCTGCGGCTGGCACTGAGTCCTGAGGTGCTCAGGCCTGACAGGAGCCTGCATGTCTGCTGTGGCCTGTGACTGCCCCGAGAAGGGGCAGCCAGTTCTCCTGGGGACTCGTGCCAGACAGGGATGAGTGCAGGAGAAGCTGCAAAGACTTGTGCCAGGGAGTTCCTCCTCTGTCAACTTGGTCATTCCATCTGAGCATTCATGTACGCACTCAGTGACTACACAGTTCCTACCAAGTGCTGGTAGCAAAAAGAACTGACCCTTACAGGGCCACAAGTCCATGACTCAAGTTATCTTCACCCTGGTCCAATGAGCTTAGAGTGCTGAAGGAGCTAATAGAGCTTGGCCTGCTCTAAGGCCACAGAGGTCAGAGTGGCCTCTCTAAGGAGGACTTGATGGATAAATAAGAATTAATCAGGGTAAGAGGGAAGCAAAGTTGATTCAGGCAGCAGGAGTGGCATGTACAAAGGCCCTGTGGTAGAGGTCACAGGTCTGGATGAAGGTCACAGTGGCTGGAGAACTTAACAGGGGAAGCTGGTCGGAATGAAGCTGGGAAGCGGGCAGGATGAATGACTGCCCTTGGCCTCGGTGGGGTCCCTGAGGGAAGTCTGCTTAGATTCCACAGAGCAAAAGAAAAGCTTGAAGTAGTGGCATAAAGCAGTGCAAGGTATGTGCTGGACAGGTGGAGGGACCAGGGAGGCAATCAGGAGGTGTAGCAGCACCCACAAACAGGGCGTGGTGCGAGTGGGGTGTGGATAGAGGTGAAGGTCCAGGAGGTTTGTGGGAGAAGGAGCTGGCAGATGGCAAGGCAGTAAGGCATCATTGCCCTGGAAGGGTGGATTTTTTTTAATATGATAAATGATATATTTGTTTCCCCCGAGGACAGAAAAAGAGGTAGTTTCGAGCTTGGGTTAAGAAGGAAGCGAATGGTGGGATTGGTATAGCAAACCAGTAACCCCAGCCCTCTGGGAGGCTGAGGTAGGAAGATGGAAAGTTCGTGCCCAGCTTGGACAATTTAGTGACTTAACAAGACGCTGTCTCAATATGGGTTGGAGATGTAGCTCAGTGGAAAGGTTCTGGGTTCGATCTCCAGGACTATCAAAAAAAAAGGGTGTGAGCCGGGGATTTAGCTCAATGGCATAAGCACCTTCCTGGCAAGCATGAGGTTGCGAGTTTGATCCTTGGTCCAAAAAAATTAGGTTCTACTGTGGGGTCTTATTAAAGCTGTTGAATAAGCCTGAGACATGAATATGTTATTTATTTGTGGGAGGAGAGGTCTAGAAGCTAAATTTTTTTTTTTTTTTTTTGTCTTTTTGAGACAGGGTCCCGCTGTGCAATTCAGGCTGGCCTTAAGCTCACTTTGTAGCCCAGGCTGGTCTCGAACTCGCAACGATCCTCCTGCCTCAGCCTCCAAAGTGCTGGGATTACAGGTGTGAGCCATAGAAGCTAAAATTCCCTGCTCATGTCACAGATGGAAGGAAACCTGCCTGCTTACCTTTAAAAAAAACTGAGCACACTGGCTCCTGGGCCTCCGCTAGGGCACTTCCTGGGTGTGTGTGTGTGGGGGGTGCCTAGCTGCAGGGAAGGGTGGGCAACCCGGACAGCCAGGAGGACTCCTGCTCTGGGGGTACAGGGGAGGCTGGCACTTATGGGAGGAGTCCCTGCCGCCCTTCTGGGGGTCCAACAGGGGCATCCGCACCCCTACATGAGAAGTCCTTTCCTGATTCCAACCTCGGTCCTGCAGCTGATCTTCCCAACACCTCTGCTCTTGGGCAGGGGCAGACTGGTGCCACCCAGGCTCCCCCTCAGCTGGCAGTCCATAACTAGGCTCTCTTCGCTCCCAGCAGGCAGCCCTGAGCAGAGCCGTGGTGGGAGCCCTCCATGCTGCCCCTGGATTGCCTCTCATAGCTGGGGGCCAGAGTGCACCCCTGCCCAGCCCAGTGACCTTCGCCTGTCTGATCCCTGGTTAATTTTTGCCCTGCCCAGCAGCTGTGGGGCTCCGCCTCCCTCCAGAATATAAGCCTGGTTCTCAGCTGCTTCTTCCTCTGAGGAGCCCAGCCACTCCAGCTCCCTGCCCACCCGCACCATGGCCAAGGGCTTCTACATTTCCAAGTCCCTGGGCATTCTGGGCATCCTCCTGGGCGTGGCAGCCATCTGCACCATCGTTGCCCTGTCTGTGGTGTATGCACAGGAGAAGAACCGGAATGCCGAGAACTCAGCTGCAGACTCCGCGTCCTCCACCACCACAACCACTGCCCCAGCCACCACCGTGGACGAAAGCAAGCCATGGAACCGGTATCGCCTACCCACGTCTCTGGTACCCATTTCGTACCAGGTGACACTGAGGCCCTATTTCACCCCCAATGCACACGGCCTGTACATCTTCGAGGGCAAAAGCACAGTCCGCTTCAGCTGCCAGGAGGCCACCAACATGATCATCATCCACAGCAAAAAGCTCAACTACACAACCCAGTCATCCACCGGGCAGCGAGTGGCCCTGCGGAGTGTGGACGGCTCCCAGCCCCCAGCCATCGACAGGACCGAGCTGGTGGAGCGCACCGAGTACCTGGTGGTGCACCTGCAAGGCCACTTGTCGGTCGGCAGGGAGTACGAGATGGACAGCCAGTTCCAGGGGGAGCTGGCTGATGACCTGGCGGGCTTCTACCGCAGCGAGTACAGGGAGAACGGCCAGCTCAAGTGAGTCTGCTGAGCTGGGCTGCTGCTGGGGGGAATTTGAGGTTGAGCCTCGGAGCTCCCTCAGTAGCCCACGCTGGTGTACAGCTGCTGTAGGATGGCCACCTCAGGACGCAGGGAAGGCTTCTCCATCATGGGGGTGCTGGGGATGGGGGCAGAGGGATCTTGCAGGCCCAGGCCTTGCAGCTCAGAGGGGTGGAGTCTGCTGGCTCCCATCGTCAGCCCACCTGGTGGAAGTCCCTGACTCCTGGGGGAGGTGAAGGGCAGGGGCTGGGCTGGACAGCTTTCTGTGCATCCCTTCCTCTGCATGCCCAAGGGCACCCTAAAGGCCCCAGGCCTGCCCCAAGTACACCTTCTGACACCCTGGTTTGGGCAGAGTGGTGGCCACAACACAGATGCAGGCCGCAGACGCCCGGAAGTCCTTCCCCTGCTTTGATGAGCCAGCCATGAAGGCCACATTTGACATCACCCTCATCCACCCAGCACACTACCAAGCCCTGTCTAACATGCTTCCCAAAGGTGAGCAGCTCTGGCCTGAGGCCACGCCGTCTGAGAGGCAGGGACCTGAGGCCACGCCGTCTGAGAGGCAGGGACCTGGGCCCAGGGTACGGGGCAGGACAGAGGATGCATTCTCAGATGCTTATACTGTCTCCTCCATGCCTAGGCCCTAGCGTGCCATATCCAGGAGATTCCAGCCTGGTCATCACAGAGTTCAAGACAACACCCAAGATGTCCACCTACCTGCTGGCCTACATCATCAGCGAGTTCCACTCCGTGGAATCAAAGTCGCCTGATAATGTCATGGTATGAGGCTAGGCTTCCCTGTCCTTGGCCTGCCCTGACCTCAACTGCTAGGACTGTCCTGTACCCTCATCCCTAAGTCAACTCCTGACTTACATGGCAGCTGAGTCTTCCCTCTGAGTGCTCCCAGGCAAGTGTCCAGTTCTCTGAGCCTCAGTCTCCGCATCTTAAAAATGGGAAAAATGGTTGCTCTTCATAAAAAGAAATTTCTGACACAGAAATGGCCACATTATCCCCAATGGCTGTCCACCCAGCTGCCTCCTCTGCCAGCCAGGGCTCTCGGTTGGACAGTGTTGGTCCCCTCGCCATGGCCCAGCGAGGACCTTGCAGCCCCCTGGGCCCTGAAACTCAGCTCATCTGCCAGGGGATCCAAGAGGGCCCTGACCCTCACGGCCAGCCACTTACTTTACAGATCCGGATCTGGGCCCGGCCCAGTGCCATCGCTGAGGGCCATGCTGAATACGCCCTTAATGTCACGGGCCCCATCCTGAGCTTCTTTGGCAAGCATTATGACACCCCTTACCCTCTGGAGAAATCTGGTGAGTGGGGAGACTTAAGTGGGCAGTGGCAGATGGGGTCCCACCCGAGACACATCCACCAATGGTCTGGACTCCCCAGACCAGATCGGTCTTCCTGACTTCAATGCTGGCGCCATGGAGAACTGGGGGCTGGTGACCTACAGGGAGAACTCGCTGCTTTTCGACCCGGAGTCTTCCTCCATCAGCAACCAGGAGCGGGTGGTCACTGTGGTTGCGCACGAGCTGGCCCACCAGGTAGCCCCATCCTGGGGTCAGGAAGGAATCAGGGTCCTGAGTCACAGAAAAGGGAGGCGGGAGCCAGCTGGCAGGGTCCCTGGTAAAGTTCCCGCCATTGGTCAGTGACAGAAAGGCCAGCAGGCCTGCTGGGCTGACCCCCTGTCCCTGCAGTGGTTTGGGAACCTGGTCACAGTGGCCTGGTGGAATGACCTGTGGCTGAACGAGGGCTTTGCCTCCTACGTGGAGTACCTGGGTGCTGACTACGCAGAGCCCACCTGGAATCTGGTGAGCCAGTGCCCAGGGGCCGGACAGGGCATGGGTGAGCTGGGCCATGCCCTAGGCCAGTTTCCTGATGGCTGGTGCTGTGGATCTGCAGAAGGACCTCATCGTGATCAATGAGGTGTACCGTGTGATGGCGGTGGATGCGCTGGCCTCCTCCCACCCACTGACCAGCCCTGCCGGGGAGATCAACACACCCGCCCAGATCAGCGAGGTCTTCGACACCATCTCCTACAGCAAGGTGTGTCACACACACACACCCCAATCTCCATGCCCCCTAACATGGGACTCGCCTACCTCCTAGGGCCTTGTGCTGGCCAGCTAGGTCTGCTGAGCCCTCTATTGCCCCACCCCAGGGTGCCTCGGTTATCAGGATGCTCTCCGACTTCCTGACAGAAGACCTGTTCAAGAAGGGCCTGGCGGTGAGTGTGATGCCATTAAGAAATGGGATGGCTCTGCGCCCGGCCCTGTGCCCCAGGTCTGGGCATGGGCTTACCCATCACCCTGTCTCCACAGTCCTACCTCCAGGCCTTTGAGTACAAGAACACTGTCTACCAGGACCTGTGGAGTCACCTGCAGAAGGTGGGTGTGGCACACGGGAGAGAGAGGGTGCCCAGCAGCTCACCCCAAGCCTGGGCTGCTCATCTGTGAAGTGGGTCACTGATGGCCCCTTGGGGGCCGGCAGGAGAGACTGAGGGGGTCACACCCTGCCTGGCAGCCTGCACCAGGACTATTTGGGGCTCCTTGGTGGGGAGGACAGGGTCCTAAGCTCCCTTCCTTTGGGGACTTTGGAGCTGGCTTGCAACTGACTCCATACCTGTAGCTGCCCTGTAGCCAGGGCCGAGGGCCCCTCGTGGGCGCAGACCTGCACACCCAAGCACCCTGGGCACAAACTCTGACCCTCTGCTCCTGCCCTACCTGCATTCCACACCCAGCAGCCCCTGCTGGGGAGCAGAGCCTGAGGCCACCGCCACACCCTGTCTCTCCTGGGCCTGGAATCCTGTGCTCCAGGGTCTCAGCCTGCCCCTCGCCCTGCCCTGCCCTGCCCTGCCCTGCCCACTGCTTCCCTGCACCCCTTGCCCACTCCCAGCTCCTGCAGCCCCCGACTCAACCTCTCACTTCACCATCACTCCATCCAGAACTCAGGACCCCCATTTTTCTGTCCCACCACTGTGCCACTCTTGGGAGAACAGCATGGCCTTCCAGTTGCCATGGCAACCCTCGGTAATGGGTCCCGGCCCCAACCAGTCTGTCTCCCCCACTCCAGTCTTCAGGGACAAAATGGTGCCACCACAGCAGGGTTGAGTCTTGCCTCTGCCCCTTTGTCCAGCCCCTTCCTCCCTCTCCCATGGTACTGTCGGCCTTGTGCTGTGACTGCCAAGGCAAGGTGGACAGGGCCGGCAGGCCCAGGTGGTGCCCTCCAGCTGGCTGCATTTCCTCATGCCCCGTCACCCTGTCTCTTGCCCCGGCCTGTGACTTTCTTTTATTTATTTATTTATTTTTTTGAGACAAAATCTCACTCTGTAGTTCAGGCTGGCCTTGAACTCACAAGTAGCCCAGGCTGACCTTGAATTTGTGGTGGTCCTCCTGCCTCAGCCTGCAAGGCTGGGATGATCGCTGTATTGCCTGTGGCTTCAGGAGCTGCTTTCATTTCATCTCTTCCTGCTCTTCCTTCTCAGCCTCCCTCTACTGTTTAGAAGAGACAGGTACCCAGCACCTGGGAGGCTGAAGCAGGAGTATCGTTGTGAGTTCGAGATCAGATTGGGCTACAAAGTGAGCTCAAGGCCAATCTGAACTGTGCAGTACGACCCTGTCTCAAAAAAAAAAAAAAAAAAGCAACCAAAAAAGCCAGGCATCTGGGGGTGCTGGTGCCTGCCTGTAATCCTAGCACTCTAGGGAACTCAGGCAGGAGGACTAAAAGCTGGAGCCTGGTATGTGTAATTTACAAGACCCTGTCTCAAGATAGAAAGCAATTTTAACAGGGTTGGGGTAGCTCAGTGTGAAGGCGCTAGGTTCAGTGCCCACTACTGCAAAGTGTATGTGTAGGGGGTGTCCAGGGTCTGCACCCTCTGCGGATGGGCCTGGGCATGTGGCTGAGGGAAGGCTGGTCGCTCCTCCAGCTTGCCGGGCTCTGGCCACAGAAGCCCCCTCTCCCCTCTGCAGGCTGTGGACGCGCAGTCAGTCATCAAGCTCCCTGCCTCAGTGAGCACCATCATGGACCGCTGGATCCTGCAGATGGGCTTCCCGCTCATCACCGTAGACACCAGCACAGGAGAAGTCTCCCAGGAGCACTTTCTCCTGGACCCCAACGCCGAAGTCACCCGCCCCTCGGACTTCAAGTGAGCAGATGGGGTCACTGAGGTGCCGGGTCCAGAAAGGGAGGAGTTGGGCTGCGTGGTGGGTGGTCACCCTGGGCCCCTGACCGTGGTGGGACTGTCCCAGTGGTGCAGACAGCTCCTGCTCCAGCGCCAGGAGCTGGGCGTGTGTGGCTGCAGCCTGGGCAGGGCTGCTTCTTGCCGACAACAGCCAAGGGCCACTGTCCCTCACCCCTGGCCTCTGCCCTCTGGTTGCAGCTACCAGTGGATTGTGCCCATCTCGTCCATCAAAAGTGGCACGCCGCAGACTGAATTCTGGCTGAACGGCGTCAAGAAAGGTAATGCAGCCCATACCCCTAGCTCCTGCCCCCCGCCCTGTTCTGGGGTTCCAGTGGGCCTTAGTAAGGGCTTCCTTCATCATGTTATTCAACAAACAGAGCCGACTTCCCTTCTGTGTCCACTTTGCTGCTGCCCATCTCTGTAACCTTGGGCAGTTACCATCCCTCTCTGGTCTCTCCTTCCTCATCAGGAAGTACAGCTAAGAGCAGTGCCCAAAAGGTCAGAAGTTACCTAAAATCCTTAGAACAGTGTCCAGTATGTGGTCTCAGCAGCCCTCGCTGGCCAGGCTCTGAGGAATTAGAAGTCCAGGCAGTCCATTCTCAGCCTTGGCAGAGGCTGTAGCTACAGAAGGAAGACGAGCAGGTCAAAGCACTCCAACCAGGGCACACCTGCTTCTGGCACTCTGGGAGGCTGAGGCAGGAGGATGGCAATTTTGAGTCCAACCTGGGCAGTTTAGCAACTTAGTGAGACCCTGTCCCAAAAATTAAAAAAAAAAAAAATTAAAAAAAGGACTAGAAATGTAGTGTATTGCATGGCCTGGTTCTAATACCTAGTACTGGGAGAGGAAAACCAAACAAGAATTCTAGTGCTCTGCTGAGTACTGCAAGCTGGAGTGAGGGAAGTTCAGGCTCCTGGAGAGGCCAGGGCAGCTGCCTGGAGGAGGTGAGCGAGGAGCAGGAAGTGTGGGGGCTCTGGGTGCCCCTGTGTCCCTCTAAGCACCTCTGCCTGCCCTGTCCCTCCATGCAGCCCAGGATTCAAGGTTCCAGACATCAGGCAACCAGTGGGTCCTGCTGAACATCAACGTGACGGGCTACTACCTGGTGAACTACGACGAGAACAACTGGAAAAAGATCCAGGCTCAGCTGGAGTCCAACCCCTCGGTGGGTGACGGCTGCTCTGCCCTGTCCCTGGTCCAGGAGGGGCCACCAGACCGCAAGGCCTGAGCTCAAACGCTGTTCCCTTCCAGGTGATCCCTGTCATCAATCGGGCGCAGGTCATCCACGATGCCTTCGACCTGGCCAGGTGAGCCTCGCCTATGCCCGTCCAGCCCCCCATGAGGACTCTGGCACAGAGTTGCTTGAGGTCACATGGTAGCGTGCAACTGCCAGATGCAGGCCTGCCCTCTCTACTGCCCACGCCCTGCTCCAGAAACTGTGCCGGGCCTCCAGGCTGGTACCCAAAACACCTGGGCTGGACAGGGCAGGGAGAGAGCTTGGCTGTACAGATAGCTACCCAGCACTTCCTCTCGTCATGGCAGAGGGCCAAGCTCTTTGTCATGAGTGACATCAGCCTCAGAAGTGGACAGCTGTAGGCTAGATGTATGCCCTGGTCTCAGAATGAGGGTTTGAGAAGCTATGAGGCCCCCACTGGGCAGAGGTGGTTGGTGAGGGAAGAACACAGTAATCTGTTTTACTTCTGAACCTCAGCTCTGTCTCTGTGAGCAAGTCAATTCATTTCTCTGAGCCTCAGTTTCTTGGTCTGTAAAATGGATGTAATAAGCAAGGGACTATGACTAGCAGAAGTTAGGGCAGGGCCAGTTTTGCCCAGCATCTGTGTCCCCATCCCTCAAGGCATCTTGAGCTAGTCCAGCTGGGGTCCAGGGGCCTTGGGCTGTGGCAGGAGCAGCAGCCAGGGTTGAGCTGTGTTCCTGGGAGCTTGGGCTGAGGCTTCTGGGATGTGGGCTTAGTAGGGATGGCGGGGCTGACTTGGGCCTTTCTGTCCCCAGTGCTCAAAAGATGCCTGTCACGCTGGCTCTGGACAACACCCGGTTCTTGATCCGAGAGACAGAGTACATGCCCTGGGCTACAGCGCTGAGCAGCCTCAACTACTTCAAGCTCATGTTTGACCGCACCGAGGTCTACGGCCCCATGAAGGTACCGGTGCAGACCGAGCCATCCACGCTGGGCAGGGTGGCTCCAGCCTACTTGGAAGGTTGAGGCAGGAGGATTGAAAGGTCCAGCCCAGCCTGGGCAATTTAGTGATTTAGGTAGGCTCTATCTTATAATTACAAAAAAGAAGCAGAAGGGGCTAGAGATATAGCTCACTGCAAAAGGCCTTGGATTCAACCCCTAGTATCCCTTCAAAAAATCATACATAAAAAAGGGTCTGGGATTTAGCTTGATGTTAGAGCATTTGCCTCACATGTGCCAGCTCTTGGGTTCCACCCCCAGTCCTAGAAAAATCAAAGCAAACCGAAAAGGACCAGTTCTCTTCAGTGCCTGAAATCACACCATTACGAAATGAGTAGAAAGTGTGTCTGGCTCGGTCCCTCCCGGGAGCAGAGCTGGCCACAGTGAGAGATGGGAGGGACGCAGAGGCGCAGGACTTCTGGACAGAAATTCGGAAACCACACTGGTGCCCCCTTCGCGAACACTTTTATTTGGAAATAATCTCGTTCACAAACAGAAGCCTTTGGCTAAATTTCGTTTTTGTTTGTGAACTCTGCATTGGGTGTCAGGCATGACTGTGGCCATCTTTGTGCAAATGTGGTCATCTTTCCCTGAATTGTGGGGTGAATTAGATTCATGAATCGAGGCACCCCTGTCCTACTTCAAGGGCACAAGGTGGCCATCATGCTAGGAGGTGAAAAGCTGTCTTGTCTTGGAGGGGAGCACATTTTCCAGGAGTTCGGAGAGGGCTTGTGACCCTGGGCTTTTGCAGGCCCGGTGTGTGAAATGTCGGTCTCCAGCTCTTACGCTGGATTCAGTGGGCTTAAAAACTTAAAGATTGAAAATCTGTTCCTCAGAACATGTATGGCCTTGCTCTGTTGATATCAGGCTTCCCAGACTGTGAGTGAAAAGCCAGGGACCCTTTCTCATTTCCAGGTCTTGGGAAGTAACCTGTTTTCTCTCTCCTTCTGGAAGCTTCTCCTTCTGGAAGCTTCTGGATTCTTCTCTCAATGATGGGTTTGTGTCCTTCTCACCCTTTACCTACTTAAGCATGCGCATTTGTGTCCTTTAGTAGTAGAACATTTTTGCCTTGGTTCTTTCGACTTTCTCTCCCTTGTTTTTTACTTCTCTGGAATGCCAGTTAATTCCACTTACTATTCCCTTGCCTCCTCCTTTCATATAGCTCCCATTTTCAGTTGATGGACTTTTTGCCCTGCCCTGTGGGAGGCTCCCTTGCCTGTAGACATCTTGGATTTCACATCTTGAAATTTCCAAGTGTGTTTTCTAGTTCCAGTGTCACACGATGTCTCTTCCCTTTGACTTATAGGATTTTTTTTTTAGGACACACAATTTTTTTTTTTTTTTTGTACCAGGGATTGCACTCACAACCTTGCACTTGCCAGGCAGGCACTTATGCCACTGAACTAAATCCCCAGCCCATATTTTCTTTTTTTTAAACAGGGTCTCATTATGCAATTCAGGCTAGCCATGAACTCAGTTATGTAGCCCTCCAGTTCCCAGTGATCCTCCTGCCTCCGCCTCCCAAGTGCTGAGATTACAGGTGTGTGCCACCATGCCTGGCCTTGGAGGATGTTTAAAGTTTTCCTTTTCTTCTGTTGAACTTGTCTCCTCTCCACTTTCTGTTTGTCTTGGTTTCTTTCCAAACTGAAGGCTGAGCTACCCTTCTGGATTCCAGTGCTTGCTTTGGTAGCACACATACTAAGACTGGAGTGCTGGGGTTAAAGCTGGTGTGGCCGCAGTGCAAGGATGTGCAAAATCAGGAATGGATCTGTGCTTCTGGCAACTGAAATGGACTGGTGCGCTGGTGCATGCCTGTCATCTTGGTGTCATGGGAGGTTGAGACAAGTGGGAACCTAGCCTGGGTAATTTAGTGACTTAGAGAGACTTTCACTCAAAATAAAACATAAAAAAGAGCCACCAGGTCAGGCGTGGTGGACATGCCTGTAATCCCAGCATGTGGGAAGTTGAGGCAGGAGGATCGTTGTGAGTTCAAGACCAGTTTGGGTTACAAAGTGAATTCAAGGCCAGCCTGAACTGCATATTGAGACCCTGTCTCAAAAAACACAAAAAAGGCTGGGGGTTTAGCTCAGCAGGCACAGTCGCCTGCCTGTCAAGCTGGAGGTTGTGAGTTTGATCTCCAGTACCAAAACAAACAAACAAACAAAAGGGTAGGAAGAGGAGACAGTTCAGTGCAAAGGCCCTGAGTCCAATCCCCAGTACTACCAAAAACCAAATATTTCAGTTTCTCCAGACTGGATACTGGTTCTCTATGCAACGAGACGGGTGATGCCAGAGAGGGAGCAGGAACTGGGGGCCCAGCATCCGGCTTGGAAACATCCACTGTTGACCTTTGCTGCCACCATTCTGCAGTGCTGGTTCACCCCACATCCTGAGCCCTTTGGTCTAGTGTCTCCCCCAGCTGACAGGAGCTAGGCAGGGTTGAGGTTGAATCGCCTCTTCTGCAGACTTTGGCTCTGTGTCTCTTTGTTCCCTGCCTCCACCCCGCCCCCCTCTTCCCTCCTATCCTCAGCCTTGTCTCCCCAGTGCCCCTTGGGCACACCCCAGCTGCAGCCTCTCCCGCAGAATGCTTCCCAACTCCCGCGTGCTGGGATTACAGGCACGCGATACCACACCCAGCCTGAGAGTGCGGTGAAGGCCGCACAGGGGAGGCTAAAACAGGAAGATCGCTGTGAGTTCAAGGCCAGCCTGAATTGCATAGTGAAACCCTGTCCCAAAAAGACAGAACAAACAAAAAAAACTAAACAGCAAGATCGTGTCATGGGGGGAAAAATAAAATAAATAAATAAAGAGGGCTGGGGATGTAGCTCAGTGTAACGGCCCTGGCTTCAACCCCTAGTACAGGGGAGGGGAAAAAGGAAAGAAAGAAAGAAATCATAATTGGAAGTCATAATTTAGGTCCTATCCTGGCTTACTTTTTATGTCCTGAATTTCCCATTTTCCCGGCAGTAACAGAGTCCTTAGGGTCAAGAGGGGGATGTAAAGCTTTATTTTAAGAACTGGCGATGCAGGGTTAGAACTGATTGAGGCCTGGGGAAGTGGGGGACCAGAGTTGTGTGGCTCCTGGGGGACATCCAGCCTCTGCCCTCTGGCCAGCGCCCGCCGTCCTGTGTTCTCTCCCCAGACATACCTGAAGAAGCAGGTTGAGCCCCTTTACTTGTACTTCAAAGAACTCACCAAAGAGTGGAGCGTGCGGCCCCCAACGCTGATGGAGCAGTGAGTGGCCGTGGGTGGGAGGTGACAGGCGACCTGGGCAGCGGGAGCTCCCCTGGCCCTCTGTGCCAGCGCCCTGCCCAGTCTGGGGCATCTCTAGGTCCCCTACCAGCGCCAGGTCAGAGGGCTTCCTCAGGAGCCTTCACTGGCCCCTCTGGGTCCCTGGGCTGCTTTGGGGGCCGAGACATGAAGCAAGTGGGGGGATTCAGAAGATGTGGGGGCCACAAAGTCTTGGGTGGGGCTGGCCTGGAGCACCTGGCGGGAATCGGGCCAGGGGTGCTAACTGCAAGTCCCTGGCACAGATACAATGAAGTGAACGCCATCAGCACCGCCTGCTCCAACGGGCTCCAGGACTGTAAGGAGATGGTCAAAAACCTTTTCCACCAGTGGATGAATGACTCCAAAAACAACCCGTGAGTGACCCCACTGCGCCTTTTGCCAGCCCTCCACCATCCCTCAGGTGGGATCAGGAGGCCCCTCAGCGTCTCCCCGCCTCACACCCCTCTCCACACCAGGATCCATCCCAACCTGCGCACCACCGTCTACTGCAACGCCATCGCCGAGGGGAGCGAGGCTGAGTGGGACTTTGCCTGGAACCAGTTCCTCAACGCCACCTTGGTCAACGAGGCTGACAAGCTGCGGTCGGGCCTGGCCTGCAGCAACGAGGTGTGGATCCTGAACAGGTGAGGACTCTTCTGAGAACCTCGTGGGTGTCACAGGCTCACAGCGAAGCTGCTGTGAGGACCGCTTTCCCCTCAGAGCAGGGTGTGGAGGCTGAGAAGCCAAGGATTCGCCTGAAGGCTGCAGCCAAGATTCAAACCCAGGTGTAGGCCCATGTCCTGTGCTGTTTTATTTATTTATCTTGTGGGGTCACAGGGCTTTTGGATTGAATTCCCAGCTCCTTTTAATTTTCATCTAGAGTCTCACTAAGTTGTGTAGGCTGGGCTTGGGCTGAGCTCAGGGTGGGCTCAAACGTGCAGTCCTCCTGCCTCAGCCTCCTAGAGTGCTGGATTACAGACATGCACCACCACACCTGGCGCATGCCCTATGGATTTAACTGCTGTGGGCCCCTTAGCTGGTGCTGACGCTCACTTCACCCTCTGTCAAGGGCTCAGGTGTAGCTGGTCCTCAGTCCCGGCTGTCCAGTTGGCACTCTGAATCCCTTGGGTGAGGGGTCCTTACTCTCCCTCTGTGCCTTGTGTGTCATAACCTGGACCCCACTAAAGAAAAGCCCCATTGGATTGGGATGGTACAGCACTCGCCCAGCATATGTAAAGGTCTGTGTTCAATTCCTAGGGCCATATACATGAAAAAGGGAAAAATAGCTAGGCATTGTGATACACCTGTCATCTCGGAGCGCTAAGAGGCTGAGACAGGAGGATCTCAAGTTCAAGCCCAGCCTGGGCAATTTAAGAGCAAGCCCTCGTCACAAAATAAAGAATTAAAAAAAGAGCTGGGGATGTGTGCAAAGGCCCTAGATTTAATCTCCAGTATTGCAGTTCAACAACAACAAAAGGAGCCATTCTCAATGTAAATTCAAAGACTGAGCAGCCCCCTGGCTGGCACCAGGGCTCAGGACATTTCCATGTCAGAGCCATGCTTGGCCTAGCAGAGACGCTGGGAGCCTGCTTAGGTGACTCGGTTCCCATTCACAGAGGAGGGTAGGACAGAGATCTGTCTGCCCTCCCCCTGCCCGGATGATAGAGGAGCACAGGGTCCGTCCCTTTCGCTCTGGTGTCCTCCCCTGTGCCCCTGGCTGCGGCCCTTGATACCGAGCAGCTCGACTTGCCGCTTTGCAGGTACCTGAGCTACACCCTGAACTCCTCGCTCATCCGGAGGCAAGACGCCACCAGCACCATCATCAGCATCGCCAGCAACGTGGCGGGCCAGGGGCTGGCCTGGGACTTCGTGCGCAGCAACTGGAAGAAGCTGTTTGAGGAGTAAGTACGGAGCAGGCATCTGGGTGGCCTGCGTGCGAGGGCCTGCAGGGGACGGGACGGTCACTCACTGAACTCGGGCCCCAGGCACCATGCAAAGGCGAGGGCAGACGTGGGCGTCCTGGTCCTGCGTGGAGAAGGTGGGGGTGCTCTCTGGGAAGGGAGCCAGCACACCGACACTGGTCCTGTATTCAGTCCCGCCGCCGCCACGGCCTGATGGTGTCTGCTGGGCCTGTCACCTCTCTCCCCTGGGCCCATGCACCCTCAAAGAGTGGGTGTGAGGGTCAGTGTCACCACCAACTAATAGCATCAGGTTTGGGCCCTTCACTGTGTCCCTTTCCTGCCCTGCAGCTTTGGTGGGGGCTCCTTCTCCTTCTCCAACCTCATCCAAGGAGTGACCAGGCGGTTTTCCACCGAGCACGAGCTGCAGCAGGTGAGAGGCGCCCTCCCCAGTCTCAGGTGGCAGCTGTCACTCAGCCCTCCCTCAGTGACACCAGGGAGCAGAGGCCGAGTGGCTGGGCTTTGCAAGTCCCTAAAAATGATGAGTCTTGGAGGTTTTTCTTTTGTGTTGACTAGGGATTAACCAAGGGCCTTTGCACTGAGCTACATCCCGTGCCCAGCCCTTTGTATTTTTTGTTTGTACTTTGGGTCAGGGTCTTGCTGATTTGCTGTAAGTTGCCCAAGCTGGGCTGAAACTTGTACTCCTGCCTCAGCCGCCTCTGAGATCTGGCATGATAGACATGCACCGCTATGTCATTACCGGGTGCTTATCAGATATATGATTTGCAAAACGTTTCTCCCATTTGTTGGATTATCTTTTGACATACAAATTTGCAATTTTAATGAAATTTCATTGCTTGTGCTTTAGGTGTCTTATCCAAGAAACCATTGTCTTACCTGAGGTCACAAAGATTCATGCCTGATTTTTTTTTTCATGTTATTACTTTCACTTTTCGATAATTTTGGTTTCATTTTTATACATTTTTCCATGTGGCTCTCCAGTCAGCCCGGCACCACTGACTGAAAAGACTTCTGCCCCGCTGAATGCTTTTAGCGCTCCTGTTGAGAATCAGTTAACTATACATGCAAGGGCTTGTTTCTGAACTTTTGTTGTTGCTGTTTGTCCCTGGACTCGATTCCACTCTGTGGCGAGTATCTCTCTCCCTACACCCTGCCCACTCTGCGCTCTCCACTGCTGTGGCTCTGCAGTCAGTTTTGAAACTGACAAGCGTGAGTTCCTTCATTCCCGCCACCAAGATTATTTTGCTTATTTTGGGTCCCTTGCATTACCTTATGAAGTTTAGAATCAGCTTGTCTGTAAAATATAAACTAAAGAAAGAATTAAAAAAAAAAAAAAAAAAAAAAAAAAAGAAAGAATTTTGATAAAGACTGCACTGGATCTCTAGAGCAACTTAAGAACTTAATATTATCATTAGATCTCCTAATCTATGGACATAGATTAATTTATCTTTTCTTTTTGTCTTTTTCCTTTTTATTGGTACTGAGGATTGAACTCACGACTGCCCGCTTGCAAGGCAGGTGCTTATGCCGCTGAGCTAAACCTCCAGCCCCTAATTTATCTTTTTTTTTGATACCGTGTATTGCACTCAGGACCTCACACTTGCCAGGCAGGTGCTGCACCACTGAGCTAAATCCCCAGCACCTTATATGGTCTTTTTCCCTTTTATTTAAGTACTATTTAATTTATTTCTACAGTGTTTTATAGTTTTCAGCATGGTGATTTTGTACTCCCTTTGTCAAATTTATTCTTGTCTTTTATTCTTTTTGATGCTATTACTGTGGGGGATTTTCATTGCTAGTGTACAGGAGGGCAGTTAATTTTCATTTTTTATTTTTTGCAATATTAGTTTTGTATTATATAACTGAATTGCTGACTTCATTAGTTCTAGAAGTCTTTTTGTTGTTGTTACTGGGAATCACGCTCAGGACCTTGCACTTGCCAGGCAGGTGTTGTGCCACTGAGCTTGTATCTCTGCCTCCAGCCCTAGTTCTTCAGATTTTTATGTAAACAAAATCATGTTATCTGCCAATAGAGAGTTACTTCTTCCTTTCTAGATGCCTTTTCTTCCATTTTCTTGTCTAATTGGCCAGAACCTTCAATGCTGATACATCTTTTAATCTGTAGCAGAATCTGGCAGGTTTGTTTGTTGTGGTGCTGGGGGTCAAACCTAGGGCAAGCACTCTACCACTGGGCTACGGTCCTCCCCACGTCCCTCTGTCCTTTTGTGAAAGCTGCTTGTTTATTGGAGCAGCTGCCTCATTTGTGGCTTAGTAACTTCCAAGACTTTTCAAGTTGGCTGTTGCTTCCGTGGGAGTCGGATTTGTCCCTCTTGATTGGCTTGAGATTGTACTTCCATGGAACACTCAAGAGTCATGAACTCTTGTGCAAGGTGGGCCAGGTGCCTCTAGAACCAGATCTCACCTGGGGCTGTCATTTGGCAAGTTGTGGGTAGAGGAGGACGTGGTCCCAGAGGACTGGATACAGCCTCCACCCCTGGAGCCCCCTCCTCTCCTCAAGGCTGTGGTGGAGACCCCATGGAGCTGACACCTCTATTTCTCCGGCAGCTGGAAGAGTTCAAGAAGAACAACCAGCACATAGGCTTTGGCTCAGGCACCCGGGCTCTGGAGCAGGCCCTGGAGAAGACGCGAGCCAACATAAAGTGGGTGAACGAGAACAAGGAGATCGTGCTGCAGTGGTTCACCGCCAACAGCCAGTAGTCCCGGTCCTCAGGGTCGCCTGGCCCTGGGGGAGGCCCAGGACTCTGTGGTCTGGCAGGGCTTCCATTCTCGGAGGACAATGTCCAATCCTCAAAGACAAAGTCTCCGGTCTGTGGGGCCACCAGCCCCTACCCCTCATGCCAGCACCACTCCAGGCCTGGCCTAGTACATGTCGCCCTGGGCCCCAGGGACTGATCTCAGGGAAGCCCAGCTCCGTGGTCAGCTGGGGTAGAAGCCCTCAGTGGATGGCCTAGAGGGACCACCGTGACATCCTCTCACCTCCCACAAAGACTCGAACCTGAATAATCAACAGGGCATCAGATCTGTATACTTTTTTTTTTTTTTAAGAGAAATTGTAAATAAAGGATTTCTAGATGAGCTTCAAGACTTTCCTAAGCTGGAGCAGGAGTGGGGAGCCAGGCCCAGACAGGTGTGCTAATGTCACTGGGAAGTGGGTCCTTCATCCTTGTTTTTTGTGTCTCTGATGAAAGATTTCAGTCCAGACACAGACAGCTGTGCAGAGGCCTAGGCAGAGTTTACTGTAAAGCAAATACAGCCAGAGTGACACTTTCAAGTGAGAGGGCGGGCCTTTTCATGCAAACGGTTACTTGAGTTCAGGGAACAATGTTAATTTTGATGTTTATCAATATTTTCTACGAGAGTGCTTTGAAAATCTGTATCTCAAAAATATCATTCTTTGCAGATGGATGGTGTTCCCTCAGGGACCTTAGCTATTAAAAGTTTTCTGAGACCCTGGGAGGGAGGCTCTTTAAAGAATGCTCCCCTGTCCAGTACTGCTGGGCACCAGCCGTGGCACCCAGGAATGCTGTGTGCCTTGTTTAGAAACAGATCTCCAGGTATCAGAAGAAGGGTATCAGAAGTGCACACCGTGGGGCTGGGGATTTAGCTCAGCAGCATAAGGACCTGCCTTGCAAGCAGGCAGTTTGATCCCTACATGCCATTGTGCTCTGTGGGGTTGCTCTGGGTCAGAGACCTGGCGGATAATTATAAATGAACCACGTACCGAGCTCTTTCTTAACTATAACCAGTAAGGCTATTATGGACCCTGCCCCTCCTTTGTCTCTTAGGTCTGTTAATGTCTAATGGCTGGCCTGATGGTGGACTCTGCTGTCTACCAGGCTTGGGGTGGGTTCTAACAGATGGAGGGTGGATGGAGTGCTTTTCCAGAAAGTACCACCCCAGTGAAAGTTGAGGGAATACAGTACAACCAGGGGCCCACTTTCTGAGTTCCAGGAGCCCCAGGGACACTTGGGACAGAGGTGACACAGAGACCATCACAGGAATGGTGAACCTTGGGCCCTTCACCTGTTATTCCTGGAGAGCCCGATTTAGGTTTTCTCCAAAGGTAGCCAGGGACTTAAAAATGGTTTTTACTAAAAATGATGACTCTTCACTTGGGCCTACAAATGCCCAGTAAAAAACTAAAAGCGGAACAAGGCTTGAGCTTCATTTTGTTACTGTGACTCTGAGTTCAGTCCCTTTGGGGCTCTGCTTATAGGCATGTTGGTCATGGAGAGAGGCTTGGTCTAAAAGGTGAGGAGCTGAGGCCCAGTGATCCTGTCCCCATTGTGGATCGAAGACTTCGAGATAAGAGCTTTACTGTGCCCAGAAGTCTCTGGTCATTGCCCTAAACCTCACCACCTGGATTCCATGCAAAGCCCACTCGTGACTGAAATCCCGAGAACAGATACATCCCCTCCATGGTGACAGAACCCACCTCAGCCCTGGGGATTCCAGAGCTAATAACGATCAGGAGACTCCAGCCCAGCTGATCCCTCAAACTGGCCTCCTGCATTTTGGGGTTACCTGATCTTATCTCCTTAGCCTACCACTTTTCTTACTTTTCAATTAAAGCTTTTTCCTGTTAATGTGTGCTTTCGTTTTGGTTTGTTTGATTTGACAGGCTGACCTTGAACTCACTGTGTAGCAGAGGCCGGCCATGAATTTGCAGCAGTTCTCCTGCCTCAACCTCCAAGTTCTGGGATAGGGCCGTAGTTTTAATTTCTATTATTAAAAGAAAGAACCCATGCTAGCCCACAATGCAGTGACAGAGTTGGGGGCTGGAAGAGTCCTCAAACCTGCAGTTACCACTCCTGCCCAAGGGCCTGTCTTTCTTTTTTCTTTTTTTTTTTTTTTTTGTCTTTTTCCTTTTTATCGGTACCGGGGATCGAACTCACGACTGCCTGCTTTATAAGGCAGGCGCTTATGCCGCTGAGCTAAATCCCCAGCCCCTGGGCCTGTCTTTCTGCTTCTCCAGGCTCTGAGGCGGCCTGACAGCATTGGTGAAAGCAGTGGGTAATCTTCTAGAACAGCCATAGAGGGGCTGGGCTGAGAGCTCAGACAGGCAAGTCACCAGGCTAGGCTATGTGTCTTCTTCCATCACAGGAGGCCACACTGCAGGTGACCTGGTGGCCAGGGCTGGAGAGACAGTGTGTGGCTCCTTGGTGGCCCCCAGGCATTCCTTGGCACAAGGCTGGAGCTAGGCTGTGGGGATCTCCCCTGGCCCTGGCTCCAGCCTCACGAGGCCCTGTTGAGCATCAGGGTTGAGGGTAGGGACAGAAAGAGGTTGTGGGCAGACACAGGAACTTGGGTCATCTCCAATTGCCACCCACAGCAGGGTCCTCAGTTGGATCTTGGGGGCCCACTCTCTCTGGAGTCAGGGATCTGAACCCCGGGCCTCTGTTTCCTCACTATGAGGTCAGGGTGTGACCTCTGAGCACAAGGGCCCTCCTAGGACAGCTGACTGCCTCATCCCTAGCCCCACATCCCAGCTGGAAATCCATCAGCCACTCCCCGCCCCAGCAGTGTGAGAAGCGGGAGACCAGAGGCTGGAAGGCTCCGGACTCCTCTGCTGTCATCTGCACATCAAAGGACCAGGGTGGGACGGTGTTGGGGCCTGTCTGGGGAAGCTCCCAGGGTGCCCCAGATTAAATTTCCAACCCTTCCACTCTGGGCCAGCACTTCCTGTCGCCAGTACCCAGTGGCCATGGCTGGCACTTGACCTTCTGGGCCCCAGACGGGGGAGGGGCAGCCTCAGCACTTGGTCCCTGGTGGGACACTGCTAGGGACAGTCAGCCTACTAGACAAAAGACCTGTGGGATCTTATTACTCTCTGTGGCCAGCATGGGCCAAGCCGTTTATGATTTTGGTGCTCATTATGGAAGCCAGGACCTCACATAGGAGGAGACTCTCCCTCACTGAGGGGTACCTTCACCCTTCTCTCTCTCTTACAGTCAAGGTTGTGGGGGGCACAAGGAGTGGCATTGGCTGGGCTCATTTGGAGCTGGGTGAAGGTCTGTAACATCACACCTGCATGCTTCTGACATCAGCTTACATAATGCCCCATGTGGCTGGAGAAAACCAATCCCAGAAGATCACTGCCTGCAGAGCCTTGGTCAAATACTGGGCTGAAACTAACAGAACTTAGGCTGCTGACTCCCCATTCAGGGCCCTTATGGTCAACGAGGGGACCATCTGCACACCAGGCCAGCATGACCTGCAGAAAGCAGAGGGCATGGGCCAGCCAGAGGTGACCTCAAAGCACTCCCAAGTTGGGCAATGCAACATCTTGCAGCCCTAGAGGCCATGTGCAAAATCAGCTCAACTTCTTTGCTGAGCCCAGTGTGTCTTCTTGGAGATCACATATCTTGGTCATTGGGAGGCTGGGCGAGACACTCAGCAGGTGTCCAGTCCTTACAGATGATCCTGGGGTTCCTAGGAAGATGTGGTGGACCACTTATCCCAGAGAGGGTGCCTGCATCAGTTCCTTTCTCCCCTGCTGGGACGCAGCAGAGAGGCTCAGTGCTGGGTCCTGCATCCTAGGTCAGAGCCATAGACAAGGGATGGGATGGGGAGGGGACTGGGGGTGCATGGTGGGGCTCCCCTCACTACAGCAGCCTTCAGGTTGTCTCCCAGGCCTCTCCAGCTGGCTGGTCCACTTGTAGTTGCTGCCCCAGAGGCCATGCTGCTCATCTTTTCTGGCCCAGAGGCACATGGAGAGGGCTGGGGAATGAGGCTGAGGCTGCCATAGCCTGCAAACATGAAATGCTCATATCCTGCTGCAGCTGCTGGTGCATCTGGTCCTGGACTCCACCCAAGCGTGCGAAGGTCCCAGAGCTGGGGAACCTCAGGGAGCAAGCACTGCAGGAAGGAAGTGAACATCGGCTGCTTCTGCCTGTGATGCAGATGCCCTGCACCTATGGACCAAGACCCTGGGTCTCCTTGGGAAGGACAGCACTGGATGAAGAGTCAGGGGCCTGATGTCCACACCCCCTGAGGGGCTAAAGGAAGTTGCTTCCCTGTTTGAATCTATTTCCTCAGCTGTAAAATGAAGATGTAAAAAAGATCCACTGCTCCCTAACCTGGCTGGGCCTCATCATCCCCTACAGAGGATCTTAGACCTGGCACATTAGCAAGATTGCTTAGAGTGTGACCCAACACACAGCAAGGTTTAGTTTTTTTTTCTTTTTTTTTTTATCCGTACCAAGGGGACAGAACTCACAACTGTGCGCTTGCAAGGTAGGGGCTTATGCCGCTGAGCTAAATCCCCAGCCCCAAGGTTTAGTTTCAATCAGCAACAAGTGTGCCTTGGATAAATCTCATTGACCATGATAGTGCCACTGCACAAAGCTCACAGCAGGATTAGGAGCCACTTGACTAGGTCATCTTCTAAACAGTATCTGTACTCAGCTACGCTTACTATGAGTACTTACTATGTGTCAAGGTAAGAATCCTGATACTAGAGAAAAGCTAGCCGGGTGTAGTACATGCCTATAATCCCGGCCTTCAGGAGGTTGAGGCAAGGAGACTTCAAAGCTGGGTAAGCTACAGAGTGCTTAACATCAAATGTCACAGGCTGAACCATAACCCCTAAAATTCCTGTTTAAGCACTGCTCTAGCTTGGATGTTGGCTGTCCCCCTTAAGTCCATGGGTGGTGCTATTGGGAGCTGGTACAACTTTCGGCAGGTGGGGCCCCATGGGAGATCCTGAGGTCATTAGTGGCCACTATAGGAGACTGCGTAGGCTATTCCTTTTGCTCTTAAGCCTCTTGTTCAGCCAGGCATTCCTGTTACAACTCACTGCCCTTGGCAAGGACCCACAGCAATGGGGCTACTCAGTCAGCCTGGGATCACCAGAGCCATGAGCCAGAACAAGCCTTTTCTCTTTATAACTTGCCTCGGGTATTTTGTTATAGAGACAAAAAACTAATACAAGGCCTAACCTCTAGTACTTCAGAATGGACCTAAATTTGGAGGACTCTTTTAAAGAGGTAATTAAGATTAAATGAAGGCAATTTAGCTCAGTGGTACAGCGCCTGCCCAGCAAACAAGAGGTCTCGAGTTCAATTCTCAGTATCCCCTCCCACAAAAAAAAGATTAAATGAGGTCCTTAGGATGGGCCCTAATCCAGTATGACTGGCATCTTTCTAAGAACTATGACACAAATGAAATAGTGAGGAGCAATCTATGAGCCAAGGAGGTCTCAGGAACAACCCAACCCACACCTTCATCTTTGCTCCAGAAGAAAATGGATTTGTTGCCTATGACACCTGCTTGGTGGTTTTGCTACGGCATCCTAGAACAAATACAAGGCATCACAGCATCCTTTGAAAAGAATGTTACACAGCTGTGAAGGTACCCAAAAGCATAGTGTCCCCAGTCTGGGGTCATCCTTAGCATCCCCATGAGTCAGCAGGCAAGCACCCAGAAGGACACAAGTGAGCAGAGGTGGTGTGCGGGTGACAAACCTCAGCCACCTGTGCCACCCTGCATACACAGCAGGCCAGCTGCGGCCCCCACCCCACAATATAGGCACAGGAAACACAAAGAACACTGACAGGTAAGGACCACATCAACCTCAGCAGCTTTGGATTCAAGGAAGGGAGGGAGGCACAGCAGGACTTGTTTCTCAAGGTCCCCATTCTGTCCCCTTTTTCCAGAAAACCTAGAAAAACCTACAAGGACAGAAGGAAAACAGACTAAACCAAATTTTTATTAGGTATACTTTTGCTTTTTTAAAAGAATAATTACAGTGTATCTAAGCACACAGCACACACCTTGGTCAGCTGTTACCCAGAGGCAGGGTGCAGACCTGGCTCTCTCTTATCCCTTTCCCCACCAGCTGCAGCCTGGCCTCATTTGGGGGCAGGCAGCACCCTGGTCTGAGCAGCCTGGACTGTGTTCTGCAGTACACAGCAATGCAGGGCACTGCCACAGCCCTATTATGGCCAGGGAGGACACCTGCTATCTGTGTTTTCCTGCACTGTTTCGGTGGTAGGCACCGCACAGAATAGTGGCTCCGTGGCAAAAGGAAGCTTTAAAAGGCCCTGAAGAAGCACATGACCAGTTCACACATGGGCCTGACTTCAGACTGAAAAGGGTGTCCACAGGGTTGTTAGTAGAAGATGCCCAGGTGAGTCCCATCCAAATCTTCTTGGCAAAGTTCAGGGCAGCTGCTGAGCCACAGGCCTGAGCGCTGGGCAGGGCTCACATCACCAGGCTGGAAGGCAGACCCAGGTCCCTGGGGCTCTGAGCTGGGGAGCACCTCAGCACTGTGGCCCCAGCATCCCCATGAGGTGTGAGGTTGAAGTCTCTGGCATGAAGGGCCGGCCAGGTGGGGTGGGCTCCCCGGGGACAGACAGGGTTCCTGCGCAGGGATTCCCTGTGGAAGAGAACAGCTTGTTAGTGGGGTGCCCTCAGGCTGTGGCTGGTGGGGTCTGGATGGCATAGGTGCCACAGATGCAGAGGACAAAGTGGTCACCAGTGCAGGCTCTGAAGCACACTGCCAACCCTCAGACCCCAGCGCTGCTCCTCACTCAGGCAAGCTTTTATCGTCTTAGCTGTTTCATCTGTCCAGCCGGACTTCTATGCCCATTTTGCACAATTGTTAGAAGAGCTGCTGAAGACATACAAATTGCCAAGAAACAGGGCAGACAGGAAGTGTTCATGTCATAGGTCCTTCTTGTCATTTAGCTCATTTACCTTGTTTGTGGAATAGAGGGGATCTAGCTCAGATCAGGAAGTGTTTAATACAGTTTAGTTGTTTTGTTTGGTTGCTGTGTATTTTTAACCAGGGATCGAACTCACAGCCTAGCACTTGCCAGGCAGGGGGCCTGTGCCACTGAGCTAAATCCCCAGCCCCTGGTTACTGTTTTTTATCTAAGGATGAAGCCCAGGGCCTTTGTAGTGAGCTAAATTTCCAACCTTTTATATTTTTATTATATTTTAAAATTTTAAAACAAGGTTTCAACCCCTAAATTGCCTAGGTTAAGTTTAAACTTGCAATTCTCCTACCTCAGTTTCCAAAGAGCATTGGAGTGCCATCACATCCAGCAAAATTTGGTTATTAACAGATCTTTTATAGATTGCAAGTCACTCATGAATGAATAATGAATGAAACCTTAAGAAATCGTGAAGGTTCCAACTCCAGTCTATCTATTCGGGAAGCGCTGTCCTTACCCCTGGCCCTACTTCCCTTCGCTGATGCCTTAAAGGCGCGCTTAGGATTTCCTGACAGTGCAGCCCTCTCCCCAGCCTTCCACCCTCGCCTCTGAGCAAGACGAGGGCCATCCCTCACTTCTTCCCAGGATATTACGGTCCCTTCCACCTCCCATACCATTAAGATACCTGGGTTTCTGAAAGTCAGACTCCTTTGCAGAGATTATCCACTTACCCATTTACCACTGAGCCCAGGTCCTCTCCCCACCCTAGGAACAGGGGCTAAGGTTGCAGCGCATACCTGGTACACAGCCGCCAGCTCCGGGGGCGCGGGCGGCGGCGGCGTCCAGGGCACAGAGGCGCTCGCGGGATCTGGGGACGACTGTGTCCCCGCGCAGGTCTGGGGTGGCATCCAAAGAGCGGCGTCGGGGGCTCTCCCCAGAGGCTGGTGCGGGGGCGACTGTATCTTGGGGCAGTAAGGGGGTGACCCCCAGGGATTCGCGCCGGAGACGCTGCTCCCCAGGTTCTCAGGCACAGCGCTCGGTCCGGGGCAGGCACTCGGGGACCCCCAGGACCCCCCGCTGCCGTCAGGACAGAGAGGACAGCTCTGCGGGGACGCCGTGTCCACTCGCCGCCGCCGCCGCTGACGCAGGCCGTCGTCGCTAAGGCCCAGCACGGCTGACAGGTGGCCGATGTAGCGGATGGCCAGGCGCAGCGTCTCGATCTTCGTGAGGCTCTGGCCGGCGGGCGCCACGGACGGCGGCAGGAAGCGGCGCAGCTCCAGCAGGGCGCGGGCGAGCGTGCGCATGCGCAGCTTCTCGCGCTCGCTGGCGCTGCGCCGCGGTCCCCCCGCGGGTCCGGGCCGTGCGCGTCCCGTCGCTGGGGCTGTGGCCTCGGAGGCGCGGGCGCCGCGGGCCACGAGTACTGGTTGCGAGGAGCCGCGGGCGCCGTCGCAGGGGCACGAACCTGACGAGTCCGAGGAGGAGGAGGCGGGCGATGTGGAGTCCGCGTGGCCGGCCCAGTCCCAGCCCCGGGAGAAGACCCAGGGGTCGAGGCCAAGGAGGCTTTGCGGAGGTGGCGGGGAGCGGGCCATGGCCGGCCGGAGCTTCGGGCTCGGGAGCCTGGGGCCGCCTCCAGACCTACGCTTTTATCCCGACCAAAGGTGCGAGGTGGCCCCCTGCCAGGTTGCAGAGAGGTGTCAAAACCCACAGAGCCCAGGCAAGGTCTGGATAGGGGGGCCCTGGGAAAGCCGGCCCATTTGCGGAGGTGTGGATTCTGACTCCTTAGGGGCTCTAATGGAGGCCCCCACTGCCCGGGAAGTGTGGGAGGGACAATTCACATCTGTGTGGAGCTGCCGAGCTTCGCGCCTGCTCCCACCCGCACCCCACGCTTTCCTTCGTCCACTGCAGGGCGGGTGCCTTGGAGGCCCCTGGAGCTGGTGCCAGGACCTGTGGGTCTCATGGACCCTTTTCAGGAGCAGGCGCCTGTGACATCCTCAGCCTCGGGGCCTCTGCCAAGGAACTCATCCCAGGGCCCTGCTGTGGCCACGGCTGGTTGGGAGTGTGCACTTTTGGGGAGACCTCATTGGGGTCCCCAGAACCTCCTTTTGGTGGATCCCAGATTGGCTTCTGTTGTGTGGCCTTGGGCAGATTGCTGACCGTCTTTGGCCCCGGGTAGCCTCATCGTTCTGGTAAGGGAAGATGCCTGCTGCCTGAGATGCTCCCTGCAGAGCGCTTGGAATCATGGGTCTTTCGCTGGTATTTTAAAATGAAGGTACTAAAATTCAGGGTATTTTAAGGGCATTATTTATTGAATTCATGTTTATTTAGCAGCTGCCATCTACAGTAGGGTAACTGAGCTAGTCACCACCTCTGCTCTCCTGAGATTTCAGTCTTGAAAGACACACAAACAGCCCATAGCTCTGCCACTAAATAGTAGGTGCCCTTAGTCAGGGCTTTTAACCTGAACTTAGCCACAGCTCAGTCAAGCAGGAGCAATAATTACAGGACTGATGTGAGGAATGACTGACAGAAAAAGTGACAAAGTCAAGTCAGTGACAGTTACATCTTGAAGGAGGCATCAGAGTCCTTATGACATCAAGGAGAGGGCTGGGAGACAATTGTGCTCTGGGCACCCAGATGGAGAGGATACAGCTGGGCCTTGCACCATGAGTAGGATTTGAGCAGGGAGAAGGGAGTGAGGAGAACATTCCAGAAAGACCTGTACAAACAGAGGCCTGACAGTGGACTCCCAAGACAGTGAGGGGCTGGTATTGAACTAAGGAATTGGATGTCATTCCATAGGGAGCCAAAGGGAGTTTTGAGAAGAAAAGTGACATAATTTTAAAAATCAGCCGTTAACTAAAGGTCCATATGACAATAGCATTCAAAAATAGATCATCCCGGGCTGGGGAAATAGCTCAAAAGGCCAAACTATAAATAACAAAATAAAAAACTTAATAGGAAATAGGAAGATAGGGCTTTTGCAATAAAGAAGAGAACTAAGAGATGAAAAGAGGAAGAAGGAAAGAGAAGGGAAGGGAATGAGATGTTGTGTACATGCATCAGCTCCCCAGCAGGAATGCAGTCATTATCTACTGCAATCATGTGCCACTAAAATATTTTAAAAGGCAGGCTGGTGATGTAGCACTATGCAAAGGCCCTGGCTTCAATCCCAAGTATCACAAGGGACAAGGAGAACAGGGGGGGTCGGGTAGTTTATTGATGTGCCCCTGGAGGATTAATGCAGTTTTCCTAGTCTCTGGTTAGTTGGTATCAGAGTTGCTACAAAAAGCAACACCAAGGCTGGGTATGGTGGTACATGGCTATAATCCCAGCACTCAGGAGGCCAAGGCAAGAGGATCACTGTGAACTTAAGGTCAGTCTAGACTTGTAGTCAGGGTTTGCGAGGAAAACAGTTTAATACAGGACACATAATTTATAGTGTGATTTTATAGTAGTCACCCAAAGAGTCAAATACAAGAAGTGCAGGAAGTCTGTCCACACACTATAAAGACCTCAGAAAAATGCAGCTGAGGACCCGGATCCCATGGCAACATCCTGGATGAATCCAGCTGAAGACCTAGAGCCCACCACTCATGCAAGTCTATTTCATGGATCTGCACTGGGAAAGGTCAGCAGTGGAAGCCAGAAAGTCGGTGACTGTGGGATGAAAGATCTGCGATAGAGCTAGGAAGCGACACTCAAGAGCCAGAGCTCTCCTGAAAAGTACCACAGCCATCTTCAGTGACAGCGAGGTCCTGAGCTCCTCTGACAGAACAGCTGAGTTCATACTGGGAAACCAGAGTGACACACTTCTGGAGATTGCACAGCACACTGTCTTCCCCTTCGGGTCTAGGAAGCGGTAAAGACCAGCACATGCCCAAAGTGAACCCAGTCATTCTCAGCAACAAGGTCCCAAGCTCATGTCAAGAAAGAAGCTCAACACTCTCCTCCAGGAGGACCAGTGACAACAGGAGCACCAGCATCTCTTCCTCTCCAGTGCTCCTTTTTATATTGGCATCAATCCTCAGGTAGGCCATCCACACCTGGAACCTCACTGATTCAGTTCAGTTGGTGTCACAAGTCGATCACCAGTAGTGATCAACAACTACGTGGTGAGACCCTATCTCAAAAACAAGACCAAGACCAGCTCCTGTCCAGGTACCCATCTTACTACATAATTGCTTGTCTACACATTTTCCCAACTTAGTGATGCCACTGGCAATCAGGACCTTACCAGTGTGCAAAGAAGCTGGCACCATGTTCTGGAGCTCCCAGTAATGGGAGCTCATGAAACCTTTTTTCTGTGTAAACTATTCAGCTTCTTTGCATAGCAAGAGAAATCACCAACAGAGTAAAGAGACACTCCACAATGTGAGAGAAAATGTTTGCCAGCTGTTCCTCCAACAAGAGATTACTATCAAGAACATATAAAGAATTCAAAAAGTCTTCCCAGATTTAAAGACCTAATCCAAAAATGGGCATCTGAGATGAATACAGACTTCTCAGATGAAGAAATACAAACAAAATAAATATATGAAAAAATGTTCAACATCACTGGTCATTCAAGAGATGCAAAAGAAAACAACACTAAGATTCCGTCTCACCCCAGAAAGAATGGCTATCATCAAGAAATCAATAACAAATGCTGGAGGGGCTGTGGGGAAAAAGGAACCCTTCTCCACTATTGGTGGGAGTGCAGACTGGTGCAACCACTGTAGAAATCAGCATGGAGATTCTTCAGAAAACTAGAATTGTAGGTCCCATTTGATTCAGCTATTCCCCTTCTGGGTATCTTCCTAAAGGAGTTAAAAACATCATACCACAATAATATATGTGCACCAATGTTCATAGAAGCACAGTATGTAATAGCTGGATCTTGGAAACAACTAAATGCCTATTGACCAAGGAATAGATAAAAAAGATGTGGTATTTTAATACAATGGAGTACTACTCAGCCATAAAGAATGATTAACTGAAGACTTTTATAGGTAAATGGATGCAATTTGTGACCATACTCATAAGTGAAATAAATCAGACACACATGTAAACATCATGTTGACTTACTAGTGTGAGAAGCTGAAAGAAGCAACATTTTGTGTGTGTATATATATATATACATGTACATATACACATATATCTATATATAATATAGTTAAGATAATTATACTGCTGATTTCTTGAGTTCACTGAAGAAAAAGATCTGTGTTGGTACTGTTCAGATAATTGAATACAGATGTCTTGTGCTCTGGGTGCATGATTTGGGGATGACAATGCACAATGTATATACCATTTTTGCCCCCTGATTGACTTGACATATTTTGAAATTTTTTTCTTTGAAATAAAACAGATTTGAAAACAAAACAACAACAAACAAATTACCCTGCTTCTGACATTTTGCTATAGCAGTGAAAAACATACCAATGGGCTGGGGGTTTAGCTCAGTGGCACAAGGGCCTGCTTAGCAAGCGTAAGGTCGAGAGTTCAATCCCTGGTACCAAAAACAAACAGATAAACAAAATGCACTAATCCAATGATGTAAGAGAGTCTAAAACGAAAATAAAATAGTATGTCCTAACAGAAGAGGAGCTAGTCAGTCCGAGACTTTTTAAGTTAGTGTAATGGCAGGTGCAGTGTAAATACATCATTTATTGATCCAGGATCTCACAGCATTCTAAATTTCTTGACATATTGCCTGTCAAGGAATGAACTCACACGTACCTGACAGTGGAAAGCAGTACCTATCAGGTGACACGAACATGGCACTCAAAACAATCTACGATGGTACCTCAGTTCAGGAACACTTCTGTTTGCAAATAGTTTGCTTCACAAACAGGAACATTTGGCAAATTTTGTTTTTGTTTGCAAACTGCATTGGGTGACAAATACAGCCTTGGCCATCTTGCCTGCATGGACACAAAGATGGCCATCCTTCCCAAAATCGTAGAACAAATGAAGTTCAGGAACAGAGCTTCAGAACTGTGCTTCTATGAACAGAACTGTGCTTCTGTGAACATTGGTGCACATATATTGTTGTGGTATGATGTTTTTAACTCCTTTAGGAAGATACCCAGAAGGGAATAGCTGAATCAAATGGGACTTCCATTGACAAATAACTGTGCACTTGCCAGGGTGCAGCTGACATCTCAGCACATGGACGCAGTGCGAGTAAGCACGTAACTGACCTGTCCATCACCCCAAACATTTATCATTTCTTTGTGCTGGGAACATTTGAGATCCCTTTAATTAGTCATTTGAAATTATACAGTTAATTGTCACCAGCCATAATACAGGGTGTCAGTCACTTCCCCTACCCATTGACACCCCTGTACAGAGAAAGCTTGGACTGTACTCTGGAGTTTCAGTGTGTTTTTATTGATATTTCCTTTCTTTCGTACTGGGAATTGAACTCAGGACCTTGTGCTTGCCAGGCAGGTGCTTGTGCAGTGGAGCTATATTCCTGGCCCTTACTGATGCTTCTGACTTTTTTTCCTTTGGTAGCTGGAATCGAACTCGGGATCTCGTGCTTGCCAGGCAGGTGCTGTGCTGCTGAGCTGTGTCCCTGACCCTGACACACCCATTTTAACCACTATATAACATTCCATTACAAGAAAACTCTGGGGCTGGGGATTTAGCTCAGTGGTATAAGCGCCTGCCTTACAAGTGTGTGGTCACAAGTTCCATCCCTGGTACCGATAAAAAAAGAAAAAGACAAAAAAAAAAAAAGAAAAGAAAACTCGGATACTCCATTGCAAATCATCTACTATAGTCCATCCCTTACTGATGCCTCTCTGTTGTGTTTTTAGTTTTTCGTAGAGCCAAGCAGCTGCATGTTCAGTGGAGGAGTGGCTTTGTGGTCTCTGCTAAGGTAGTGATCTCCAAAGATCCAGAGCATCCCACCACCACCACCAACCTGCACTGCACACCTATAGAGCCAGTCTGTAGGGACACCCCATGTATGACATGGATGAATAATAAGCACGGGCCTGCACATGGTACCCACTACCCTTCCCTCTCTGGGTGGCTGGCCTGCTTCAACCTTGGCTTAGATTGGCCTGGCTCAGAGTCTGGGCCTAGGCTGACAGTGGGATGTCACAGCCTAAGGTCTGGAAGATGGCACCTGGGCTTGCTATGGTCCTGGCTGTCCACTGGCCTCACAGCCAGCCTCCTGAAGCATAAGGTGCAGTGTGGCACCTTCATCGTCAGGAGGGAGACCAGAGCAGCTACCCCGCTGGTCCTGGGAGGCAGGGTCTCCTGAGCTGGTGCCGAGTCTCAGGGGCTGGTTTAGAGACCTAGCTCTGCTTCTTGGGAAACTTACCCTTGGTTTTCTCTCCTATAAAGTGGAATTCTGATCCTGGGATAATTAGGGTAAATAAGACGGTGCCTGGCATAGTGTTTAGCTAGTGTTAGGCTTCTAGAAAGCTCAGGACAGCAGAAGTAAGAAAAGACAGACTGATGACAAGAGTGTTTCCTTAGCTCTGGCCCTGGAACACGACTGGCACCTTTCCTGGGACCATCCCGCCCCAGGCCTTGGGTGACCCCCCACCATCTCCGGCCTCTCTCCTCTGGGACCTGGTCTAGGGCCATCCTCAGCAGGACACCTGGCCCCAGCGGAAGAGCAGAGGAAGCAGAAGTCAGGTGCCTGGTGCTGCCGCTGACAGATGAGCCTCCGCAAGGCTACGACGCAGTCTCAGAGGGAGCTGCTGGTGTGATAGGGCCTGGGCCCAGGTGCCCAACCGCCTGCCACAACCTGGACCCTCACACGGGCACCCCCCTTGCGTGTGGGCGTGGAGCCTTCTCTGTGCCAGAACCTGCGCTGGGTTCAGAGCAGAAGAGCCGGGCATGGGGCCCAGCCTGCAGGGCCTCTCCCCGCATCTCTCGGCACCTGACCAACCCGTTCCGAAGGAGGGTTCCAGCTGGGTGCAGGTACCCGCAGGTTCACCCTGCCTGAGGTGGGAGGCACTGGGCAGGGCCCTGAGGTCATGACTGCGTGGACTTCACATGTGTGGCTTACACTGTGCTGCCAAACAACATTTATTACACCTCTGCTGACCATTTTTCCTTAATAATAGAAGGACCCGTGTTTCCATAATAATAGGTGGACCTGTGGGTCTCTAGGAGAGCTCTTTATTTTATGTACTTAGTTACTTTTGTTGAGATAGCAGTCACCCTGCATTGCCCAGGCTGGCCTCAAACCTAATTGTTACAGAGGATGAACGTAAACAAACCCTTTAAATTTTCTTGTGCCCCCTCCCTGCCCCATCCTGAGAATTGAACCTAAGGTCTCCCCCGTGCTGGGAAGCACTACCACAGAGCCTTGCCCTTGGCCTTTTTTTTTTTTTTTTTTTTTTTTTTGAGACCAAGTCTCCCTTAATGGACCAGGTTGGCCTTGAACTTGTGATTCTCCTGCCTCGGCCTCCCAAATAACTGGGATCCCAGGTGGTACCATCAAGCCTGTCTTGGGAGAGCACTTTAACACAAAGCAGTGGTCCTATGGCTGGCCTCCCTCATATTTGCAAAGAGGAGGACATCTTCTGCCGAGGAGTGGAGGGCTTCCATTCCCCAGGCAGCACAGGCCACACTTAAGGTAACCCGGGCTATGGGTGATGAGGCTTAGGGACAACCACTAGCCGGGGAGAGAGTTCGGTGAGGGGCTTAAAACCTGGTCACCAGCAAAATAGCTGCAGGGCTTGGGTGTTTGGTCCTGGAAGAAAACATGATTGGGTGTGGTGGTTATCTCCAAAAGGCCAGGGCTAGCAGGGCCGGAAGGAAGGAAGGAAGGATGGAAAGAAGGGCTTTCCGGGATCAGAGGCTCTGTCCTGTGAGGGAGAGAAGAGGCCAGGGAAGGACGTACCAAGCACGTCTGGGAGCTGGAGTGGGTGGGTGTTAACAGCTTCTGCTAAGGGCCTGCATGACACAATACTGGGATGCTGGTCCTGGTGGCCACGGAAGTCTTTCCAGGGCTGTGGTCCCAAATCAGGGAGGGGGCAGGAGTCATGGCCTTAGGACTCTGGCTGTACTAGTGGAAGGGAGCCTAGGATAAAATCGCCCATCTGCTTCAGGCTTGGCCACCCACCCTTTCTCTTCTATCCCTGGAGCCTGTGGCTCAGCTGGGCAGTGCTGCTGCGGCTGGGCCATCCCGGTGCAGCCAGTGTCCCCACAGCCAGGCCGGAGCCAGGGCCAGAGCTGCCTCTCAAGCACACCCAGCTCTGGGCCTGCAGAGGGCCAGGAATTGTGGCCATCCAGCTCACTCTGGTGACTGAGCACAAGTTCTCACCACACCAGCTGCTCCCTACTGCCACGAATCACTGGGGAATCCGCCACCCACCTTCTCCCAGCACAGGACTGGCAACAGGGCCTGGCATGAAGCCACCTTGAGGTCTCCCTGTCTCCCTGTGGTCCTTCCCAAGGCCCCTCGGGACATGGGGTGTTAGGCTGTGGGAGCGGGAAGGTGGACAGGGCGAGTGCCGGGTGGTGTTCTCATTACCAGCGAACTGGCCACCTTCACACCTCCTGGCTGCCTGCTGACACAGAAGGTGTCAACTTGGGAAAGTGAGTCTGTGGGGGCTGCCAAAATAGTCCAGTGTCGTCCTGGGACGGGATGGGGGCCAGGGCAAAGCTGTGTGCTGTGTGTGTGTGTGTGTGTGTGGTGGGGTGGTCTGGAAGGGTCCCCGAGATGAGGGCCCAGCCAGGGAAGTCTGATAACACGGTCCGGCCTGCCAGAGTCCTACCAGTGTCACTGCAACTAGGAGCCACCAAGGGAAGGTCACAGAGTACCCAGCCTGTCCCCAGATCTGAATGCACAGCCTCAGCCCAGAGGAAGACACTGGGCTCAAAGGAGCCTCATTCCTGACCCCAAGTCCCCAGAGCCAGGAATCTGACCTACAGGTCACCGGCGCAGAGTTGTGGGTGAGGCTGTGCTCATTGTGCAGGATGGGGTTCATTGCAGCTCCCCAGGGAATGGGTGGCTGACTCCTGCAGCACTATGGACCCCGGAGACATGGCCCCCAGCTAGATAGTGGGGAGATCCCAGGGAGGGCAGGGGTCTGCAGTTGGGAGCTTCCTTCCCATCATGGGATTTTGGGACAGCTGGAAGCCATGGGTAGTGGGGCAGTGCTGGGGCTGGAGCCCCAAGGGAAGGCATGGGCCAGCAGATGTGCTTGGGCCCTGTCTGATAAGTGGGGAGCTGGAGTCTGGGGGAGGCAATCCGAGGCAGGAGAGGGTGGGAGGGGAAGAGCTGGGGGCTGGGAGCCAGTCAGGAGGCACAGAATGGGTGGCCCCTTTGCAATTTCCCCTTCCTCCAAGGAAAAGGCTGAACCATGGAGCCAGTGCAGCAGCTCTGGCCCAGGCCAGCAGGGGCTCCACTCCTGACCTGGGGCTCAGTCTCCACATTTCTGAAATGGGCGCCTGCTGAGGGGTAGAGGGAGCACCTGTGTCTCTGCCCTGGGTGTGCGAGTGGCCTTCTACAGCTTCTGGGAAGGACAAGGAGGACAGCAGGTGATGCCTTTAGGGCTTGGGCTCTACTCTTGGGATGCAAACCAGCTGAGGACGGGGCTGCAGAGCGTTTTGCCCTCCCTCCCTCCTTCCTGGTCTTTCAGCAAAGAAATGCGTGTTTGTGCTCCTTACAGAAAATAAAATATGGGCAGGACCAAGGAAGGGAATGTAAATCACTCCAGTTCTGTCACCCAGAGGGAAGCGGCGCTAGCCCTACATCCCTTCTCCAGGTTCTGCTTTCGCGGGGCAGCTCTGCCCCCACCCAGGCCAGGCACAGATACACTGAGGCAAAATGTGGCACTTGCTCTGGGAGTGTTCAGGTTTCAGGGGGTTTTGTTGTGAGGTGTATGTGTGTGTGTGTGTGAGTGAAGCTGGGGCTGGCACTCAGAGCCCCTTGTGGGCCAAGCATATGCTCTGCTACTGAGCTATCCCCCCAGCCTGGGCTTGTCTTTTTTAAAAATACCAGGCAGAACGTCAGGTATGGTGGCACACGCCTGTAATCCTAGCACTTGGGAAACTGAGGCAGGAGGGTTGTTGTGAGTTTGAGCCCATCCTGGGCTACAAAGCAAGCTCGAGGCCAGCCTGAACTGCACAGTGATACCCTGTCTCAAAAAAAAAAAAAAAGCCAGGCAGAGTGGTAACACATACTTATAATCCCAGCTACTGGGGAGGCTGAGGCAGGAGCATTGTAAATTTAGGCCCAGCCTGGACTGTAGTAAGACCCTGTCTTAAATAAACAAATAAGGAAACAAACTGTTTTATGAGACAATTCACTACTCAAGAGTTTTGTGTGTTATATTTAAAATTTTTTAAAGCAGCACAAA